CAGCCCTGGAGGTGTCCCAGGAAGGCCTGGCTGTGGCACTCAGTGCTCTGGGCTGGGGACAAGGTGGGCACAGGGTGGGCTCCATGGGCTGGAATGATTCTGTGTCCAGTGGGAGTTTCCTGGCTGCCAGAGGGTAATTCCATGTGAACCTCACTTGGGTTCAGGTGTCAGTTCACTGAACAGAATTACTGGAACCCAGAGGCTCCCCTTTTTCGTGGAATTACCATCTCTGTGATGGAAAGCAATGACACCTTTCTGCAGTGCACGTTTGATGAAGCAGAGGTGGTGTTTGCCTGGATCAGTCTTCCTGGTAGGAATAACTTTAAAATCCTCCATCCCTGCTGTGGTGTTTTGTGGATGTGACAGGACCGTTTTCCCCTGGCTCTGGGACCCACCAAACACAGCCCCCTGCCACTAAACCCTCGGTTCTCAAGTGTTGTGGAGACCCAGCTCCCGTGGGTGACACAGCCCTGGCCCGGGACGTGGGAGAGGGGCTGGGGACAGGGGCTGGAGGGACAGGACACGGGGAATGGATCCCACTGCCAGAGGGCAGGGAGGGATGGGAGGTTGGGAAGGGACTGCTGGGGTGCCCTGACAGTGCCAGGTCGGGCACAGGGGGGGTGTTACATCCAGGACATGGTCAGTATTGATTTAATGATCCTTTAACACCCTGTAACGTTTGTATTCAGTCGTGATGCTGGCAGTAACTTTTATCCTGGGACAGAACGTGGAGCATTAGTTGGGATTCCTTCTGCACCTGAGAAGGAGCTGAGCCCTCCTTTTTAATCCTTGTGCTGTTGGTGCTGAAGCCAAACAAATTCCAGTTTAGAGTCTGCTTTTTGTGCTCAAGGCAGAGATAGAACAAACAGCTAAGGGAAGTTGTTGTGACCTCTTCTCTTGGATGCCTTAAATCCGGGTGGAAGGTGTCCCTGCCAGGGCAGGGCTTTGGAATTGGATGGTCCTTAAGGTCCCTTCCACCCCAAACCATTCTGGGATTCCAGGATTCCATGAAAACAGTTCAGCTCGTTGGCCTCGACGTGACTGCCAAAAGCAGGTGCTGGGGGGTGTTTTCAGGCAGAGCCCTGCAGAGATCAGAGTTCTGTGCCATTAACTCTCACCTGCATGACCAGGAGGGAAACTCATAAAACAGAGGGGAATGGGAAAATGTTGGAGGAACAAAGCCAGTTGAAAGGAAAACGTGCTGGGCAGAATGGCCCAAAAGCAGTTCTTGGAGGTCCTGGTCTGCAGGTGGCTCAGTGTGCTTTTTCAGGGTGATTTTGTAACCGTGGATGGTGACAGGACTCAGGAGGACAAACAGGAGAGGTTCCCCTTAGTGCTTGGTGGGGGCAGGATCCTTGCTGGAAAACTGTGGGAGGACCAAAGGGTTTGAGAGGGTGGATGGAAGTGGTTGAAGGACTGGAAATAGGTTTGGGAAGAGGCACAGCTTTACAGGCAAGGACCCCAGGAATGCAGGAATAACCCCCAGGGGTTAGGGAAGGGTTTGGTATTTCTAGAAATACCAGTCCTAGAGAAATTAAATATAATTCCAGGGACCTTTGGCAGATGGGCTTAGCAAAGGACACAGAGCAGAAGCTGAAGGGAGACACATTCAGAATAATAAATATGAAATACGAAAGTCAGAGAATCAGAGAGTGATGGAATGGTTTGGGTGGGAAGGGACCTTAAAGTTCATCCAGTGCCACCCCTGCCATGGGCAGGAACACCTTCTACCAACCCAGGGTGCCCCAAGCCCTGTCCAGCCTGGCCTTGGACACTTCCAGGGGTCCAGGGGCAGCCACAGCTTCTCCGGGCAGCAAAACAAGATGTATGTTTTTAACAGTGGATGTGAGTCAGTAATTGTCAGAATCGGTTTCCAAAGTGGGGGTGGAATCCCCACCACTGAACCTCTCAAACCAGGGGGAGGGTGTTTTAAAATCCAGTCAGGATTCCAGCCAGGCCGATGTCCTGTGTTTGCTGGGAGCTGAGTTATCACAGTGTTTGTTGTTGCTGTAGGAGATATGAAAAATGCAGACAGGAATGTTAATGGAGTCTCCGAGCCGGGAATTTTACAGGATCCGTTGCTGGAACCCTGGACCTACATCCATGAGGGAATCAGGGGTTTGCTCTACTCACAGTTCCAAGAATAAGTGAGTGTTTCTGAGGCCACCTCTACCCCTTTTCACCTGCACTGCTGGAGCTGGGCTGGGTCAGTGACATAAAACATGGAAATTCAGCTCTTCCTGCTCTTTGGGTTCGTCCTGTTCCCTTCCCCTGATCTCCCTCATCCTCCTCCAGGCTGTGGCTGTTCCTCTGCTCCCAGGGAACAAGGGACAGGAGGAGAGGGAACGGCCTCCAGCTGTGCCAGGGGAGGNTTGTGACCTCTTCTCTTGGATGCCTTAAATCCGGGTGGAAGGTGTCCCTGCCAGGGCAGGGCTTTGGAATTGGATGGTCCTTAAGGTCCCTTCCAGCCCTCCCCTTTCTGGGATTCTGTCATTCAAACTCCTTGAAATTGGGCTTCAGACACACCTGGGGGCCTTGTCTCAGTGCTGGAGCAAGTGAATGGGGCTTGGTTTTCATTTGGTTGGTTTGGGTGTGCCAGAGGCCCCAATTCATGGTGCAATAATCTCCATTATAGGGGCAATTTAGGAATCACATTTAATTTAACAGAAGAAATTCCTCCCTGGGAGGGTGGGGAGGCCCTGGCACAGGTTGCCCAGAGAAGCTGTGGCTGCCCCTGGATCCCTGGGAGTGTCCAGGCGAAAATCAGACCTTAAAAAAAAATAATGAAAAATCGGAAGTTAAAATTAAAGAAAGTTAAAACTTAAAAAAACCATAATGAAAATTAGAACTTAAAATGAAAGAAAATTAAAACTTAAAAAAATAATGAAAATTAGAACTTAAAATTAAAGAAAATTAAAACTTAAAGAAAACATAATGAAAATTAGAACTTAAAATAAAAGAAAATTAAAACTTAAAACATAATGAAAATTAGAACTGAAAGAAAATTAAAACTTAAAAAAAAATAATGAAAATTAGAACTTAAAATGAAAGAAAAATAAAACTTAAAACATAATGAAAATTAGACCTTAAAGAAAATTAAAACTTAAAGAAACATAATGAAATTTAGGACTTAAAACTAAAGAAAATTAAAACTTAAAGCATAATGAAAATCAGACCTTAAAGAAAATTAAAACTTAAAAAAAAATAATAAAAATTAGAACTTCAAATGAAAGAAAATTAAAACTTAAAAAAAAACATAACGGAATTTAGAACTTAAGATATAATGAAAATTAAAACTTAAAATATAATGAAGAGAAAACAAAAAAAAATAATAAAAAAAAAAAATTAAAAATCGGAAAGATTTTAAGAAACCCCTCGGTCGCTGGCCGGTTCATCCCCGAGCGATGAGCGCCCGGAGCTCTCCGGGTCCCGAGCGTTTCCCGGGATGCGATCCCGGTCACGTGGAGCTGCCCCGTTCCCTTGGAGACGGCTCCATGCGGCGCATCCTGGGGATGGCGCGGGCCGGGATGGCAGCGCGGCCGAGGGACCGCGGCACCGCCGCCTCCTGCCAGGTCTGCGGGCTTCGGCCCTGCCGGGGCCGCGTCCCGGGCTCTGCCCCGCTCCCAGCTCGGGGCCGGGGCTGCGGGGCCGCCGGGAAGGTTTGGGGGGACCCTCCGGACGCGGCTCGTCCCGGTTGGGTTTGGGGTGGAGGGTCGTGGGGACGCGGGAGGAGCGGCCTGGAGAGGAGTCCGGGGGGCTGGGAACGGCCGGGAGAGGGGTGGGAGCCGCTCGGGGAGGGATGTGGGGTTGGTTCCGGGAGGGATGTGGGGTTGGTTCCGGGAGAGGGATGCGGGAACGGCCGGGAGAGGGACGGGAGAGTCGCTCCGAGAGGGATGTAGGGTCAGGTCCGAGGGGTGTGGGATCAGCTCCGAGGGATGTAGGGTCAGCTCCGAGGGGTGTAGGATCAGCTCGGAGAAGGACGCGGGGTCAGCTCCGAGAGGGATGTAGGAGCCACTCGGAGGGATCCGGGATCAGCTGGGAGAGGGGACACAGCTCGGGGAGCGA